CATCAAAAGGTGATCATATTACTCCCATCTTGAAATCATTGCATTTGCTGCCAATTAGTTTCCGGGCACAGTATAAGGTGTTGGTATGGACCTTTAAAGCCCTACATGGCCTGGGCCCATCTTACCTAGGGAATCGCCAGTTTCCATATAATCCGCCCCACGCCCTTAGGTCCTCTGGGAGGAAGTTGCTTCAACCAACAAGAACTAGGCTGGCGACGACCTCCCGGAGGATCTTTTCAGCCATGGCCCCCAGATTATGGAATGTTCTGCCGGAAGAGATCTGTCAAATAACCAACTTAGGGCCTTTGCAGACTGCCAGAAATAGTGCAGATTGAGTCCACTTTAAGGGTTAGGGTTAGTGCTAGGGAATCATGGGAAAATGTTTTTTTTTCCTGAGACATTGAGCCTTCTCTGTCAGAGAGCTCTGGTGCCACAATAAAATACAATTCCCATGATTCCCTAACCCTAACCTTAACCCTTAAAGTGGACTCAATTTGCACTATTTCTAGCAGTCTGCAAGACGGATCTCTTCCAGCAGGGATTCCCGGAATGACACATTCTCCCTCCTGCCACTAGACATCTCCTCTTGAGATGGCTACAGTGCCGCTGTTCATTTATGTAGAGGGTAATGTTTTATTGCTTATGAGATTTTAATTTGTATGATGATTTAATATATTTTTAAGGGGGGGGGGTATTTGTTATTGATTGTATGGGTGTATTTTTTAACTATAAGCCGCCTTGGCAGCCTTGGCTAAAGGCGGGGTATAAATAAAGTATTATTATTATTATTATATTCCAGACTAACATAGCTCTATTTCTGAATTAAGGGATTAGTTAATTTATGTTACAACTTACCTTATATAGGAACTCTTCTGGGTGACCTGGACAACTCTGAAAGGGTTGTTTGCTCTTAGGCTGAGGGGGATGTTGGGAGGTTTTGTTTCCTTCAGAAGAAATTGATGACTTTTGCTTCTCTTCTTACCTGCCCCTCCATAGGATGAGAAGAATCAGCTGATGACAACTAATGTATGGTTGAAACAGGTAAATTATAAATGGCACTGTATAATTTTAAATGGTTTTGTTGTGAATGCCATTGTCATGAATCTGGTATTTGATGATGTCTGCAAAGATTTGATAACTGTATAGAGACAGAGGTTCCTGAATTAAAGGAAATATAGCCCCGTTGAGCCCAAGGGGATATAAAATGGTTTATATCCCAGATGCAATGGTCTGATTGGGTTACAGCTTGAGGATAATGCTAATTTATGGTCTATGAAAATAAATTTAGTGAATTGGTAAAACAACAGATACATTCGGGATGGGAAAGTGATTTATCTAATTCAGCAGTTTCCAAATTGTGCTTCTCAGTTGTTCTGTCAGAAGCTTGGTTGCAGAAGAAAAGTGTTGCTCTAACCAATCTGATCTGAGATTTCTCAGCATAGCATATCTTCAGAGTGTGTATAGGGTGTGCCCTAACTTGACAGCACTCTCCATTAATACAGAGCAAGAAACAGGCCCACTAGGTCTGGTCTGTACTCCTAGGAAATCGACTGAACATTCCTGAATTTTCCATGAGGTATAGGGCTCCATGGCAACATGTTCAAGTTACAGATATGTTGGTGCAGAAAATATGAAAATACTGTTATAATGTCAGTAACTTTTGTCCTTTGTGTCTCTGAGAATGCTGCAGTCAGATTTTGTTCAACATACATAAACATATCTTCAAAGCAAGGAACACATGATCACATTGACTCATTAGAAGAGCTTGCACCAAACTAATTTCTTCCCACTCAAGAGGAGTGAGCCAAATGTACTGCCTCTGCGCTCTGTAAAATGCAGAGGCTGGACCCGCTGCTGCTGGTGTTTGCCAAGGAAAAAGAAACAGGAGATGGGCTGTGCCATATAGAGAAGGTCTCTTCCTTTCACCAGGATACCTCTTCTCTTGGTTCTGCTGCACTGAAAGGCATTGTTTCATTATGGCTGCCACTGCAATGCAGAAATAATTCAGTTTGACACCTTTTTAACTGCCATAGGTCAATGCTATGGAATTCTAGGAACTGTAGTTTGTTGTGGCACCAGAGATAGGGAAGACTCGGGGGGATGCAGACGGGCAGTCCTGGGCCGCCCCAGGAAACAGAGGATTGGGGCTGAGGCTGCCGGATGCGTCGGCCCCAATCTGCCCTTTTGCTTGCCTGGAAAAGAGTGGCAAAATGCCACTCCTTTCAGAGCTGGCAAAAGGGTGCCCTAAGAGCTGCTGTGCAGCTCTTTGGCGCCCTTTCCGGTGCAGTGCATCAAAAGGCTGCACCGGAAGGATGTCCTGATGCCACATGCCGTGCGTAACAACAGGTGGCATCAGGACGTCTTCGGGGAGGGGTTGAGGCAGCTGGCGTGTGGCTGCCCTCCCCATCCCTGCCTCCGGACAGCCCAAAGGGCCCCTCTGTAGAGGCCCTAAGTGTCTTGCAAAACTACAATTCCCAGAAGTCCATAGAATGAGCCATAGCCATTAAAGCCATTAAGGTAAAGGCTGTTTTTGACATTCAAGTGCAAAAGGACAAATATAAAAAATCATGCCCTTTTGATCTGGCATTGCTATAATGATTCAAAATATAACATTGTCTTCTTGCTAGCTTTCCAAGGGGAAAACCTTTTTCAAGTGCAATGATGTAAAAGAATAGGCTTGTGTGATAAGGCCCTGGGTGATAAAGCCTTCCCAGCACACTCCCAAATTTCTGGCTGGAGCTGGAGCTAAGATGGGCCACTGAATTTGAAGTCTTGTTGAGCTGGAGCTAAGACGGGCCACTGAATTTGAAGTTAAAGAAAAGCTCTCTTTCTAAATGACTTGTGTTGCAGGATCAGGCATGTAAAAGCATCCTTTGCTTAACTCTTTTGGTAAAGCAAGCTGTAGCAGACCTTGGAGACTATTAGTTCTCTCTTGGAAGGCACAAGGGTGATTAGCAATACCATTTCATAGCCTTGAGCTTTCTTCAGTCAATATAGAAAGACATAAAAAACCCAACAACCCAGCAACCCAAAGATAGTGCAAATTGAGTCCACTTTTAGGGTTAGGGTTAGTGCTAGGGAATCATGGGAATTGTTTTTTTTCTGGGACATTGAGCCTTCTCTGTCAGAGAGCTCTGGTGCCACAATAAACTCCAGTCCCCTTGATTCCCTAACCCTAACCCTAACCCTAAAAGTGGACTGAATTTGCACTATTTCTGGCAGTCTGCAACCCCCCTAACTTGTTTTACATTGGCTGCAGGTTGTGCTGCTCTCAGGGCGGTCAGATGCAAAATAGGACAGGGTTCCTTTCAGTGGTATCACTAGGTTTGGTGTCACCCAGGGCAGTAACTCATGGTGTCACCCTATATATCTCCTGTGATAGAGGTGCGGATGGGGAGGAAGAGCTTACCTTGGAGAACCCAGCATCTTATCACCACTGTCCTCCTCAGTTGAAACAGCAAAGATGGGATGCTCCCCTGAGCTAGAACAGTTTTTTAATGACAAAAAGATCTCGACTCTCAAGGGAAGAGGAAGAAACAGCAAACTGTCTGCTCCATTAAGGACAACAGTGTAAAGAAGCCAAACAGATTGAGAAGGGGAGACTCTAAGGGAGGGGAGCAAAAAGAAGGGTTGTACTCCCTGTCCTCATGGCCTGCAAAACTCTCCCTTTCTTTCTGGGGCAGGGGCCTTGGGATGCTTCATAGCTTCCCAGTGTGACCCCCTCTGATGGTGTCACCTAGTGTGGTCTGCACCCCTCCCTTAGTGATGCCACTGGCTCATGTTCTGGAGTCCTGAGGAGGAATGGGAGAGGCTTTCAGGAGGTTTAAATTGTTTGGCAAACCACAGTCCTTGGAATGACCAGGTTCACATACTTGGAAGAATCTTTGAGACAGGATAGAGCCATACTTAACTACTTTTTATTAAAATGACCTATATTGCAGGATCTCAGCGGGCTATAAAGTGAAAATCCGATTTAAAAACAATTTTGAATCATTTAAATTTAAAACAATGAAAAATCATTAAGTAAGTCTTAAAATATACCTTTTAAAAATTAAACCTTGCAATACTTTGTTGCGCTCTTTCTGAGGCTAATGATGTGGGTGAACTCACCTATACAGAAGGGCACAAAAACACATTCAGAGGGCTTGGAAAAGGTGGCATAATGAAAAGTAGTGGAAAGGATTAAGCATGCATCACTTGCTTGCAGGGTATAATTGATTATTAGTATCTGAAGCGTATAAGCATCAAAGAGGAGGAAGAACGCGTTAGCACATTATACAGAGCAGCTTAACTAGGAATAACTAGATCAAATTAAGAAGCTAAAGGTCCAACTATACATGATGTGCAAATCTATGTTACAGAGCCCCAATGTGTCTTTAAAAAGAACATCTGAAGGTGGGGATTTAAGTGGAGAAGAAGTGAGGGAGGGAGACTTAACCCTCTTCCTCACTTGCCATTTCTGTCCCCATGTGGATCAAAATGTAAGTAAAATAGGGTTGCCGGATTTCAAGGCTTGGCCCTGAGTCTCCATATTTTATGGCCAATCTTCAGGCAGGAGATGAGGGTGCAGTTTCTCCAGTTTGGGTGGATTCAACTGTAGGCAAGAGGAAAGGACTGTGTGCAGATCTCCAGTTCATCTAGGGGAGCAGTAGCTTGCAACAAGTTGCAAAACTTAATTGATTTCTTGTTGCAACTTGCAAAGACTAAATATGTACTTAGTTATCATCTTCCTTTTCTTCCAGTTGTCCAGTTCTCACTTTCCACTCTGCTCCGCATGCAACCTCTGGCTAGAAGCATTTTGCTGTTGCTGCTGCTGCTGCTGCTGCTGCTGCTGTTGTTGTTGTTGTGTGCTGTCAAGTCATTTCTGACTTATGGCGACCCTAAGGCTTCTGGAAAACATGGTGTTTTCATGTCAAGATTTGTTGAGAGGAGGTTTGCCATTGGCTTTCCTTGAGGCTGAGAGCATGTAACTCACCCAAGGTCACCCAGTGGGTTTCCATGGCCAGCAGGGAATTGAACTCTGGTCTCCAGAGTTGTAGTCCAACACTCAAACCACTATGCCACACTGGGAGGAAGTAGGCTAGGTTAAATCTTCCTTATCTCATGTCTCCTTCATGAACAAGAAAGAATAATTCTTTCTCTGATCTGGGAACACCCCTTTAGTTAAGATTTGTCTCAATTTCGGAACAAGAAATGTGTGTGTTTGTGTGTGCATATGTGCATGTGTGCGCGTGTGTTTGAATGGCAAGCTGTGAGCAACTGTGGTTGGTACTTCATGCATAATGCTTAATGACATCACCATGAACTGTCCCTGGGTCTCAGGTTTTGGTCCAGGGACCTTAAGACCTGAGATGATCCCAAACTGGCAACCATACCTTTTTAAGACATGTGTATGTGTATTGGGGAGGGGTCTTTTGTGTGTATGTGACAAGCAGAGGAATGGTGGCTGGGTAGAAAAGAGTTCTGAAGAACATTAAAGACAGTGGTTCATGGGGTTTATTTGTAAATCAAAAAAAGCAATCCAAAGAAAAGGGGGCAGGCAATGTTACCAAGGGAATGCAAAGACAGCAAAGGTAAATACAGAGCTTAATGCATGGGAGCGGGGATGGACCTGAGATGGACCCGGGCGGAGGATCCGGCAGCAAAATCCCTGCGATAGGGTCTGGATGCCAGCCAAATTAAAATTTAAGTCGGTAAAGATAAGACGGTTTTAAAAGCCATGCAATAAGCTCCTAAATTAGAGGCTCTTTCATATTACAAAATTATAACACTTAAGTGTCATGGTTGCATCCCATGGAAGCCTGGGGTCTATAGTTTGAGGAGGCACTAGAGCTCCCTGGATGATAATTCTAATCAGCCACCCCTAAATTGCAAATTCCAGGATTCCCTAGGACAGAACCATGGCAGTTAAAGTGAAATAATAGTGTTACAATTCTGTCATGTGAAAGCGCCCCTGAAGCAAGCAAGCAAGCAAAAAAGGGGTAGATATTTAATTCTATTTCATTTTTGCAATGCATGATATAAGAGAGGATTACGTATATGAAAAATCCCTAGCTACTCAAAATGGGCGCTGGAGATGCAAAGAGGGACTTGGCTTTTGTAAGAGTCCTGTGCCTGAATTCTCTACAAGAAGATGCTTTCATTGCTGACATTGATTTTAGGTAGCACACTCATTCTTCATTTGCCTTCCCAGGGGGCAACCTAAAAACATATAAATAATACATATAAATGGAGAGGTACTCTCTCTTCTTTCTATTACTGTAAGCAAGTTGCCATGCTGAGATGGTTTGACTGATGCTCTGCAGTATGAAGACAACATTAGCCTGTCGGATGACCAGGGAAAAGAAAGCAATTTGGCCAGCTGTTGTTTTGCTTTAAGGGCAGCTAAATCTCTAGAAATCAACAGAGGAGACTTTGAATGAGGCAGAAATAATTATTATTTCTTGTGAATGTTTGCAGAGATCAAGCTGCTTTTAAAGGCACCTTAAACACACACATACTCATCCAACTCTTAATGCAACACATTATATCCTCCCTGCCCTCAAAAACCATTCAAAAGCTCAATTGCACTGATGGATTTCTGTGCCTTGCAGTTTGTGAAGGGAGCTGCAGTTAAGTCTGGTTTTTTTAAAGGTCAAGTATTATCTTTGTTGCCCCAATGTGGGACTGTTACAGAGCGGTCTAAAGAAACATACATTTCTCATGATACAGCTTCTTGGGGTTTGTTGAGTTTTGCCAGTTGTTGGCTGCATCAACACTGCAGAAATAATAGTTTGATGATACTTTAACTGACATGGCTCAATACTGTGGAATTCCAGGATCTGTAGTTTATTGTGGCACCAGAGCTCTCAGACAGAGAAGGGGAAATATTTCACAAAACTATACATCCCAAAATTCCATAGCATTGAGTCATGGTAGTTAAAGTGGTGTCAAACTGGATAGTTTCTGTAGTGCGGATGAAGCTGCTGTCACTTCTGCACCCACTAATGCCATTCTTTTTTTGCTGTTTGTGTGTGTGTTTGTAGTGATTTCTTAGATCTGCATTGGGATTCTTTAATTTTTTTCTTAAATTGGTTCGCTGAGGTGGTCCTATGGTATGAAGGGCAAATCTTCTCTCAACATTGAATCCCATTGTGGGATTGTGGGAGAAAGGTGGGATATAAATCTATGAACTAAACTAATAAACTAAACATTTGTAGAGTCAAAAATGTTACGGCGTAGAACTGCTATTTCACGAATGCACTACAGCACTATAACTATAAAAAAAATAAAAGAAAGAAGAACAGAGAGGTTGTTCTGTATGTCTCAGTACTAAAAAATGTCTCAGTATTTTTTTTTTTTTTTGAAAAACCCTTTAAGGGTAGGAATAAAATTTGGTAGCTGGTGCCAGGAATTGACAGAAAATAGTCAGAGGCAACACAAATATCACTGGATATTTTAGAGATCCTGGGAACTACTTCAAAAATTCTGTAACTTCTTGGAACATTTATCCCACAATCTTTCACATGCTTCAAGAGGATTATGGGAATTGAAGACCAAATACATCTGAAGAGTTCTGGATTGGGGAAGGCTGCTTTAGGCGATCGCTAGCATTTCTAAAAAATAAAGAAGTCTGCTAGTTGGTCTGAGTCACATAAATGAGTATGCATGTATAAATTGCTATTTATTTATTTATTTATTTATTTGCCTTGTGTGGCTTTTTACATATTGCCATGGACTGAGCCACATCTGTTGCTAACTGTCTCCTGTAATTGTAAAGCTGCAAGTGAACTGCTTTTTTGGATTGCTGCAGGAGTGGATTGACCACAAATTGTGCTGGAATCCTGAAGACTATGGTGGCATCACTGCCATTCGAGTCCCATCTGAATCTCTGTGGCTCCCAGACATTGTTTTGTTTGAAAAGTGAGTATAAGAATCTTGCACCAAAACCAGTATTTGTTGGGTATTTTGAAGTTTTGCTATCCATTATTTCTGAATTTCTAGAGCACAGACACGGAAGAATTTCTACATGATTTGAATTCAGAAAGAATTGATGTTAAAGGCTAATGAACTTTGATATAATTTATTACAAATAATAATAATAATAATAATAATAATAATAATAATAATAATAATAATAATTATAGCCCGCCCCTCTGCTAAGCAATCGGGGCGGGTTACAGCATAATGAAAACATGAACAAGTTAAAACAACCAATCCCTATACCCTAACCCTCCCACCCCTTAAAACTAA